AAAAAGTAATTTCTGAAACTCAAATTTTTCTAAATGGTCATTTGTCTTATTTACAGTGCTGTCATTTGAATCACCTGGGGAACTTGCTAAAATGGAGATTACTGAACTGAATAGCTCTGAATCATAACATGTGGGGTGGAGCCCAGGAATATTTATTTTCAGCAAGTCCCCTTGACTACACTTTGAAGAAAAGTGGTCTATACTTTGCTAATTTCTAAAAGTTTATTCATCACCATATTTAATATTTATAAATGTTTCGAGTATTGCTATTTTATCATTCAGTTCAGTACAGTAAATCGAATTTGTATCCAGAATTTTTTAATTTGTACATAAACCATTGAGTGTATTATAGAAACCATAAAGCAGGAAATAGTATGAGGAATTTTAATAAACCCACAACCTGTATGAGAAGGCATTGGCTGGAAAAACAAAACAAAACATACAGACGTGTCTAAATGTGTATGTAATTATATCCACAATCTATACACACTCCATGTACAAATAGTCATACATATAAATTTTAAAACTAATTCTATAACATTATAAACTCTTTCAATGTAACTTCATTCAATGTCAGAATAAAAAATATCCTAATAGGAAGAAAAAGATTAAGATAGACCATAAAAATTTTTATAGTAAGTAGGAATAAGTTCTAGAAAAGAAGATGTTTTTACTTATATTAGAATAAAACAGGATCTTATAATATGCTTAGAGTGATAAAAATTTGTTTTTCAAGAATAGATTGATCAGAATTAAATTAAATTAAATTAAAATTCTGATGATCTGTCTAAACTTTACTTTGAAGTGAATTTTAAAAGGAAAATTGAGTTAAAGATTTATAAATATTTCTATTCTTAGCTGTTGCCTGAACGAAACTGCTTCAGGTGATTATCTTTATGAGCTGCTAAAATGTTTTTATTCCATAATGAAAAATACACAGTGTTTAACTAAATAGGCTATGGCCATGCACATGGAGGGAATATTGTGATTCTTCAATATAACCCTATCTGTTTACAAAATTAATTTCTACAGATAAGCTTGTTATTCCCTATCTTTACAAATGTCCCACCTGCTTATATCTGGTAAAAAACAAAAACA